CTGAAAATGCATACTCTGTAGGCCTGCAAAAGTTTCCGTTGCACTATGCCCAAATCTGAAGCAAAACCTGATATCGGCTGCTCAAAATTGATATCACTCATTTTTAGAACACAATATAAAAAGCCGTATAACAAAAATAAATCTCTACGGACAACCAAATGACTCAATCGAGTTGAAACTTGTACTAAAGGCGAATCACAAGTTCTCCTGTCTCCTCTCCAAGCCCGGCGCCTGCAGTGTCGCCAGATCTAACGCTACGTTGCCAATCTCATCACTTAATTTACCTCGTACTTCATGTAGATTCCTATTAAATAAGAGCAAAAACGAAAATACTGCATCTGGCATCTTGCGTTTAGCAACATTATCAGTGTTCACAGTCACCAAACCTGGAAATAGATGTTCACTGTTTATGCCGCGAGTTGAGTCGCTTCTGTATTGACTTAAATTTTTAGTTGCTTTTTTTATAAATTTTGCCGTCCATATTTTACTTAAGTCATGAAAACTATTTTGTACATGCAACACTGTAACATTACTAAAAGAATTTTAGATCACTCAAAATCCAGTTTGCACCCTTTAAACACCTTCGCGCTTTTTGAAAATACATGGTGTAAAATTAGCAGGATACGAGCCCCTTCCCCACTTCAGTTGGCCCAACTATTGAAATCTTAGTTTTTTCTTATCAAACACAAATAATAAAAATGTAGCAGGGTGTTATAGGTTTAAAATATTAATAATGAATATTTTGATAATATATCGTATGCAAAATAAGTCTACAGGTATAACGCATAGGTGGCTGTGAAAAATAAAAGCCATGACAATTGTTTTTATTAATCACAGCTGTCAGAATACGTTTAAAATAGTTTTGGGTAGTTAAGGTTTTCAAAATGGGTAGAGGAAAGGTTATTAGTGTGAAAATTCGGTTAATGATACTTGTTAGACTTATCGCGGTACAGTGTGAGAAATATTGTTAGAAGATATAACGTAACGGGTTCAGTTAATATTAAGCCACGATATGTGAAAAAAGAAGAATAATCGGGAAAAACAGGCGTGCCAATTATTTACAATTAAGTGCTCTGTGAAGTGACGCTGTTGGAAGGAGAATTTCGAGGTTCACAACTCATAGAGAGGCCCACAAACTGGGATTTAGCACTTGCAAGGTAAGTTTTCTTATAAAAAAAAGTGAAGTAAAAACACTAAAGTTGCACAACTTGTTTATAGGCCAAAGAAAAGCCACTATTAACTCCACTGCAAAAGAAAAATCGGCTTAGATGGGCTAAAGAACATAAACAATGGACACCTCAACAATGGTGTGCAATACAATGGAGTGATGAGGCCAGATTCGAAGTTTGTGTTGGTGACAGTCGCAGTAGAGTTATTCGCAAAAAAAATGAACCATTCCATGTTGACTCTCTGAAGAGAAAAGTGAAATTTCCAGCATCCATTATGGCCTGGGGCAGTACGTCATTATTGATGGAAATGTGGATACAAACAAATATTTCAGCAAGATGGTGCAGCGTGCCATACCTCAAAAAAGGCTATAAAATGGATGGAAGAAAATAATGTACCACTTTTGAAATGGGTTTCTAGCAGTCCAGATCTGTCACCTATTGAAACTTTGTGGCACGAGGTGAAAAAGGTTCTATGACAACATCCTGCTCGTACAATCACCGAACTGAGACAAAAGCTTCAAGAAATATGGGATTGTTTTACACCAAATTTTTGCCAAAACTAGGTTAACACTATGCCCCAAAGAATTTCAGCCTTAATAAAAAATAAAGGTGATGTTACCCAATGGTAATCTTTCAACTCTTGCTTTGTTAACTTCGCGCATTTATTCGCACATTGTTTATTTGTTCAGATGTTCTATTAGTTATAGGTCTAAGTGATTTCAAATATGTATTTTTTACGACTAGAGTGTATCTAAAATGTTTTTGAGAAAATAAATTGTTTTAGAAGTAAATAGTTTCGTCATGTTTAGTTCATAAAGGCATATTTTGGTACAAATCTTAAAGTGGGAAGGGGGCTCGTATACTGTGAATTCGAGGAGCAAGGAACCATGAGCCCAAGTGCCGAGGCACCCGGGAAGGGGAAAATTTGGTAAACGTTTTTATCTTCGAAGCAAATTAAAAATTAGCGCTATGCCTACGTGTGATAACACACCGCTACAATTACATCGCAGTTTATTATAGTTATTCAGAAATGGATATCAGAGGTCGAATAATTCCACAGGTGATGGTGTTGCTTAAGATTAGTTAACAGAATTTTGTAACCTAAATGCAGTGTACGCATTCATTAAGAAATTATTTTTCGATTGATGTTTCTAAATCGATATCAGATTAAAAAATAAGTATTAACCATAGGTCAATAAAATGTAAAGCTATTAAAATGCAATAGCTCAGCTAGTGGGCTTAACTGCAATGAATCGGTTAATTGTTTATAATTGCGTATAATATAGAATCATTCACATACTTCTAGTTGTCACTACAAATCAATGAAAATAACTAAACAACCGATACTAACCAGTTTTAATGCACGGGGCTATGCCAGAGTCGAATTTGACCATCTGTATTTCTTTCGTTAACTAGCTCTATGAGTTGTGGACCTCGAAATTCTCCTTCCAACAGCCTCACTCCACAGAGCACTTAATTGTAAATAATTGGCACGCCTGTTTTCCACGATTATTCTTCTTAATGCTCTTCGGTCGGCATTTGTGATATTACTTTTTTTCACATATCGTGGATTAATATTAAATGAACCAGTTACTTTATATCTTCTAACAATATTTCTCACACTGTACCGCGATAAGTCTAACAAAGTAGCAATTTCTGAGTTTGATTTCCCAGAATTAAAAAATTTAATCAACAGTAACCGAATTTTCTCACTTTAAACGTATTCTGACAGCTGTGATTAGTAAAAACAATTGTCATGGCTTTTATTTTTCACAGCCACCTATGCGTTATACCTGTAGACTTATTTTGCATTGAAATGAAAATAGGTCGATATGCTGTAATTGCCACGTGTGTTATTTTTGTGCTGCAAATTTGATTAGGGAGTGATAAAGTTGATGTTTTCTATTAAATATTATCAAAATATTCATTGTTAATAGTTTAAACCTATAACACCCTACTATATTTTTATTATTTGTGTTTGATAAGAGAAAAACTAAGATTTCAATAGTTGGGCAAACTAAAGTGGGAAGGGGGTCGTACTATCCATCAGTCTACTCGTCAAGGTAGTAACATTTCAATTTATTCACCTGTTTCGCGAACAAATTTATTGCTATTTTCGCCACTTCATGTTATGTGTAATGTGTGTGGTGTGAGGGCGTCAGTGAACTTGATGTTTTCATCTCCACCAAGAGCAATCTTAGATGTTTTTTAACTGTTGAATGAGTTACACTTTTTGTCTGTTTGCTATCTGGTGCCAACCACAGTTTTTGTGTATAAATTTGTTTTTTACTGCCTGTTATTTGGAGTTATCTGTTCATGTACTGTATGGATTCTAAATGCATAAAATATACTAAGTGACATATAAATCCGAACACCCAGTTTAAATGGTTTTATTTTAATAAAAGTTGGTGAATGTATTTATATTACTGTAAATAACAAACGAAAAATTTTTCAGCCTTATCAGTTGGACATTCCGGTTTTTATACTGCTTTTTTTTTAATTCACTAACGCTCTAAAAATGAATATTTCAGCCGCAGTAAAGAATCAACGTTGGCGGATTTTGGTTCTTGACATCCTTTACGATCGGTTACGATGCCTGGAGTACGGAGACCTGTACGATTTCGTCAACTTAGTAAGTTTGATAGGGGCCGTATAGTGGGACTTCGGGAAGCTGGACTTTCTTTTCGGGCAATTGCAGTTAGAGTGCATAGAAGTGTAGACACTGTGGTTAGGTGTTGTCAGGCATGGCTTCGAGAAGGCCGTACGCAAAGAGCAAGCGGCACTGGACGCCGCCGTAGAACAACAGACCGTGAAGATCGCCGCCTAAGATTATTGGCCTTAAGGGACCGTTTCTCCACTACCAGGTCCATTACAAATGAATGGTTTGCAGAACACGGAAGACCTATTGGCATGCGAAGTGTTTACCGACGAATGAGAAGTTTTCGCTTGTTGTCATACCGGCCACACTGGGTCTTCCCTTTAACTCGAGAACACCGACGTAATCGCCTTGAGTCTTGCAGACAACGGTCACTCTGGGATCAGGAATGCAACAGTATTGTCTTTAGTGACGAGTCTCGATTTTGTTTAGGCATGCACGATGGTCGTGCCAGGGGTAGAAGGCGACGTGGTGAAAGGAGGAATCCAAAGTTTTTTGTTGAAAGACATGCTCATCACACTGTTGGAGTTATGGTTTGGGGTGCTACAGCTTATGGTTCCAGGTCACCTTTAATCAGAGGTAACATGAACGCGCAGCGTTATATCCACGAAGTTCCAGAACCCCATCTTTTACCCTATCTTGACACCCTGGCAGATCCAACTTTCCAACAAGATAATGCCCGACCACATGTTGCAAGAGCCACAATAGACTTCTTTCAACATAATGATGTCACATTGTTACCATGGCCACCAAGATCTCCCGACTTATCCCCAATTGAGCACGTGTGGGATATGTTGGGTAGGAGATTGCTCAATTTGCAACGTCCTCCTCAGACTCTAGAAGCACTTCGAGAGGAGTTGGTGGTTGCCTGGAATGAGATACCACAGGAGGACATTGACCACCTGATCAGAAGCATGCCTAGGCGCGTTGGAGAATGCGTAGCACATCAGGGTGCATCCACACATTATTAAAGGTGAAAGGGCTTTAAAGCAGTGCAATCATTTTGAAATTTTTATCATTTACTTATTATGCTTTATTAAGTACTTATACAAAATTTTATTAAAATAAAACCATTTAAACTGGGTGTTCGGATTTATATGTCACTTAGTATAGATACTGCCATTGGATGGTATTCCCAAACTTCCAGACATTTTCAATCTGCATATCTTCAAATGGTGCAAGATACTTTTGAACCAGCATCATCCCTAATAAATGCTTTGAGTAATGGAAAATTCGAAGATATATATGTTTTATAAACGTGGTTCAATTTACATTAGGTTTGACCTCTTCCCACACTAATCACAATCATCAAACATCCTTATGCCTTATTCAGTCTCTTCTTCCTCCTCTTTACCGACTTTGAACTTGGCTTCGTAATCTTTCATCCACTTTTCCTTCAAAATCTCGCCTAACCTGTACCCGATTGCAGCATCGGTAGCAATAGTATTAGACCTCGGCAGTTCCCGCAGTATGCTAGAATCTGCTACTCTTAGACATCTTACTCTTCGCAGTTCCAAGTTTTCTTTCACTACCGCCGTTTCGTCACACTCCGGGCCCATTCTGGTCGTACCTCCAACACCTCCCATTGGAAATACCATGTTTTCGATGTAGCACTTCACGTACCTTGTCCAAGAAAATCAACCAGTCAATCAAAATTTATCATTATTTAGGACAATAACATCAACTAAGGAAAGCTATGTCAGAATTGGAATCTTATAAAAATCCAAGTGAGAATCTCTCAAAATGATTGTTTCAATATATACTAAGTGACATATAAATCCGAACGCCCAGTTTAAAGGTTTTATTTTAATAAAAGTTGGTGAATGTATTTATCTTACTGTAAATAACAAGTGAAAAAATGTTCAGCCTTATCAGTTGGACATTCCGGTTTTTATACTGCTTTTATTTTAATTCACTAACGCTCTAAAAATGAATATTTCAGCCGCAGTAAAGATCAACGTTGGCGGATTTTGGTTCTTGACATCCTTTACGATGCCTAGAGTACGGAGACCTGTACGATTTCGTCAACTTAGTGAGTTTGATAGGGGCCGTATAGTGGGACTTCGGGAAGCTGGACTTTCTTTTCGGGCAATTGCAGTTAGAGTGCAAAGAAGTGTAGACACTGTGGTTAGGTGTTGTCAGGCATGGCTTCGAGAAGGCCGTACGCAAAGAGCAAGGGGCACTGGACGCCGCCGTAGAACAACAGACCGTGAAGATCGCCGCCTAAGGTCCATTGCAAATGAATGGTTTGCAGAACACGGAAGACCTATTGGCATGCGAAGTGTTTACCGGCGAATGAGAAGTTTTGGCTTGTTTTCATAACGGCCACACTGGGTCCTCCCTTTAACTCGAGAACACCGACGTAATCGCCTTGAGTGGTGCAGACAACGGTCACTCTGGGATCAGGAATGGAACAGTATTGTCTTTAGTGACGAGTCTCGATTTTGTTTAGGCATGCACGATGGTCGTGCCAGGGTTAGAAGGCGACGTGGTGAAAGGAGGAATCCACAGTTTTTTGTTGAAAGACATGTTCATCACAGTGTTATGGTTTGGGGTGCTATAGCTTATGGTTCCAGGTCACCTTTAATCTTCATCAGAGGTAACATGAACGCGCAGCGTTATATCCACGAAGTTCTAGAACCCCATCTTTTACCCTATCTTGACACCCTGGCAGATCCAACTTTCCAACAAGATAATGCCCGACCACATGTTGCAAGAGTCACAATAGGCTTCTTTCAACATAATTATGTCACATTGTTACCATGGCCACCAAGATCTCCCGACTTATCCCCAATTGATCACGTGTGGGATATGATGGGTAGGAGATTGCTCAATTTGCAACGTCCTCCTCAGACTCTAGAAGCACTTCGAGAGGAGTTGGTGGTTGCCTGGAATGAGATACCACAGGAGGACATTGACCACCTGATCAGAAGCATGCCTAGGCGCGTTGGAGAATGCGTAGCACATCAGGGTGCATCCACACATTATTAAAGGTCAAAGGGCTTTAAAGCAGTGCAATCATTTTGAAATTTTTTCGGATTTATATGTCACTTAGTATAATTGGACAGAAATTATTTTTGTTGGAGAATCATCATCAATATTAATGTGTTCCACCATTAATCTTGTGCCAAAAGTTCAACATTCTGAGCAATACAGGGTGGCGCATCGAAAACGAAACAGACGCATTTACTGGCAGCTCAGTTTTTTTTTTTGAAAAACGCGCAGACCCGTCGAATTTGTTTTCGAGGGTCAGTATTAAACATTTTACAAAAGTATTTAGTAAATAGAGTCAAAAAACTTTCGGGTTGTTATTTGGTTGTTACCACATCTAATTCTCCGAATTTCTGTAGATGTTGGTAGTGTCCGTTTTAAATTATAAACGAATTGTAGATTTGGCAAACCCTAACGGGCAACATTTTGAACACTTAGTGAAATAAAAAGAGATATTATCGTGTGTTTTTGTTTTCTATGTGAACAAATTAAGATAAATAAAGATTTATCTAATTTTCTTGAAAATGAATCGACTGATTCAAAAAAATCAGACGTCAAAATAAGGGACTTCGAAAGAACTTTCAAACAAGCTATTACTCGATACTTGTTATTTAAATTTTTTAAGGGGATGACCCTGGGGCAGAGGATGATAGGAGGTGAAGTAGTTTTTGGTGAAAAAGTTGTCCCCCTTGACAAATCTTTAGACGTGTCTCGGCGTTTTTTTCTTTACATCCGGGGTGAGAAGTTTTCAAATGAACAACCTGTATATTTGAAATACCCTTTACTGGGAGCCGCCAATGCAAATTGTTCCTAAAACGTCAATATTGGTATCAGACTGTAACAGTAAACAGAATATGGAAAAGTAGTTCGACTAACCTCATGGAACAAAATTTGTAGTTTCTGCAATTGGGTATATCAATGTCCATAAACTCCGCGGCCAAATCATCCATAACAGTGGTCAAGTTGGTGATATAGTTGAATCCCGATAGAATCGTATCGAAGTCAGAAGATTCCTCATCGGAGAAGATTGCACCTTTAATAGAAGGATCGCCGAGCAAGTGCGTTTCGTTCAAGTTCAGTTCACCTCTGGACAAAGGATGTATCAGCGTTACCAAAAACATCATCATTGGGTTCAGCTTGTTCACGCTCAACAACCTCCCTGCAATTTTAGGATGGTAGTCCATCGCTTCCAACCAAGCCAACAAATTCCTATCCTCTATTCTGAAATACATGTGTTGGACAGAGAGGTTCGGCAATGTAGTACCCGTTTTCTTCGTTAGTATGTAGTTGACAAAATTATTGACACCTGTATGAGTGAATCTTCCTTTTCTCTGAAGTATATACTCGAAAGTATCCTGATAAAGTGTTGTCTCATTGTATACCTCTGGTTCACAGGTGGGGCAAGTACGGTTCAGAGATACGTATATTGGTAGAGCAACATGCATTTGTAGGTACTTTCCAACTGCTGGCATATACGCCTTGTAAGGTAATTTTAGTTTATCTAAGTAACCCCTTTCTCCGATACCGCTTAGCAAGAGAAGCTTGGGATTATTGATTGGTCCTGCAGCAAGAATTACTTCTTTCCTAGCCCTTAGGGATAGTCTTATTCCGTTTATTGAAACGTTGACCCCGGTTGCCCGTTTATCGACGGGTTCCGAGATTTGGATCGATTCAACTAGAGTGTTCTTACTGAAAAATAGATTTGGACGATCCTTGATCGGAGTGAGAAAGACCTTAGCCATGTTGTATCGTTCACCATTCTTGGTCATCAAAAAATGACTGATCATGCCAAGGGAGTGTCGTTTCGGCATTCTCTTGCTACCAACTTTTATGTAATGCACTTCTAGCATATCTTTAGCTGACTCGTTGTAGACAGCATCTTCAAAATGTAAAAGTCCACCTTTGCCATGACCATAATAAGACTGTTCACTTCCGGTGTAGTCTTCCAAATGCATGAAAATGTCGCGGAAAATTGAACCGTCCCATTGGACGAATCCGTTCTCGTCGTAGTCTTCGGGAAGACCGCCTATGTACATCAGGTTGCCTATTGCGCTGGTGCCACCAAGTGCTTTGCCTCGAGATATTCTGCATCTGAAAGACGACATGTATTATGTGTTTGATTAATGTGAAAGTATACTAAGTGACATATAAATCCGAACACCCATTTTAAATGGTTTTATTTTAATAAAAGTTGGTGAATGTATTTATCTTACTGTAAATAACAAGTGAAAAAATTTTCAGCCTTATCAGTTGGACATTCCGGTTTTTATACTGCTTTTTTTTAATTCACTGACGCTCTAAAAATGAATATTTCAGCCGCAGTAAAGAATCAACGTTGGCGGATTTTGGTTCTTGACATCCTTTACGATCGGTTACGACGCCTAGAGTACGGAGACCTGCACGATTTCGTCAACTTAACGAGTTTGATAGGGGCCGTATAGTGGGACTTCGGGAAGCTGGACTTTCTTTTCGGGCAATTGCCGTTAGAGCGCAAAGAAGTGTAGACACTGTGGTTAGGTGTTGTCAGGCATGGCTTCGAGAAGGCCGTACGCAAAGAGCAAGGGGCACTGGACGCCGCCGTAGAACACCAGACCGTGAAGATCGCCGCCTAAGATTATTGGCCTTAAGGGACCGTTTCTCCACTACCAGGTCCATTGCAAATGAATGGTTTGCAGAACACGGAAGACCTATTGGTATGCGAAGTGTTTACCGACGAATGAGTTTTGGCTTGTTTTCATACCGGCCACACTGGGTCCTCCCTTTAACTCGAGAACACCGACGTAATCGCCTTGAGTGGTGCAGACAACGGTCACTCTGGGATCAGGAATGGAACAGTATTGTCCTTAGTGACGAGTCTCGATTTTGTTTAGGCATGCACGATGGTCGTGCCAGGGTTAGAGGGCGACGTGGTGAAAGGAGGAATCCACAGTTTTTTGTTGAAAGACATGTTCATCACACTGTTGGAGTTATGGTTTGGGGTGCTATAGCTTATGGTTCCAGGTCACCTTTATTCTTCATCAGAGGTAACATGAACGCGCTGCGTTATATACACGAAGTTCTAGAACCCCATCTTTTACCCTATCTTGACACCCTGGCAGATCCAACAAGATAATGCCCGACCTCATGTTGCAAGAGTCACAATAGACTTCTTTCAACATAATGATGTCACATTGTTACCATGGCCACCAAGATCTCCCGACTTATCCCCAATTGAGCACGTGTGGGATATGATGGGTAGGAGATTGCTCAATTTGCAACGTCCTCCTCAGACTCCAGAAGCACTTCGAGAGGAGTTGGTGGTTGCCTGGAATGAGATACCATAGGAAGACATTGACCACCTGATCAGAAGCATGTCTAGGGTGCATCCACACATTATTAAAGGTCAAAGGGCTTTAAAGCAGTGCAATCATTTTGAAATTTTTATCATTTACTTATTATGCTTCATTAAGTACTTATACAAAATTTTATTAAAATAAAACCATTTATACTGGGTGTTCGGATTTATATGTCACTTAGTATATGAAGGACCGCTGACAATGCAGTAATTTGATAAAAGTTTTCCATTATCCTAAAAAATCGGAAAAGTCGTGGGTTCGATGGTATTAAAAGCGAGCATTTGAAAATTATAGCCGAGGACATAACAGAACCACTCACTTACCTAATCAACAAATGCTTTGAATCTGGCATATATCCCTCAATTTTAAAAAAAGGTAATATAATACCGATACATAAATCAGGAACAAAAACAGATGTTAACAACTATAGACCAATATCAATAATATCCAATGTAGCAAAGGTTTTTGAAAAAGTTTTATCTACTAGAATGATTCGATACCTCACAAAATTCAAAATTTTAAGTGAAAATCAATATGGATTTACAGAAGGGAAGGCTACATCGGACGCAATAACTAAAATTGTAAATCAAATATATCAAAATATTCATAACAGAATCCCTTCAATCTGCATTTTTGTTGATTTAAAGAAAGCTTTCGACACAGTTAATCACAAATTATTATTAGAAGCATTGGAGAGAATTGGTTTCAGAGGAAACGCGTACTCACTGATCGAAAGTTATTTGTCAAATCGCCCACAATCTGTGCAGATATCAGGATCATTTAGTAAAGAAATGTATATTAAGTGTGGTGTCCCACAAGGAACTGTCTTAGGTCCGCTGTTATTCAATATATATTTAAATGATATTTTCCAAATTATTTGTGTTGGCAAAATAACTAGTTTTGCAGATGATACTGCAATATTATATGAAGGCACTGACTGGTCTGATCTGAAAAATGTAATTGAAAATGATTTTATCAAAATTATTCGATGGTTTAACAGTAGAAAATTAAGCATTAACTACTCTAAAACACATTTTTTACCATTTGGATCTTATGCCAGACATCTGCCAAATTACACAAATTTCTCCTTCAATATTAATGATCAAAAAATGCAAATTAATAGAGTGCCCAACATAAAATACCTTGGAGTGGTCTTGGATCCTCACTTACGATGGGACATCCATGTCAATTATATTTTAAAGAAAGTTAGATTTGTATCCTACAAAATTAAATACCTTGGGAATATATTGACAGAAAAATATCTTCGAACATTATACCATGCACTGATTGAGCCTCATCTCACATATGGTATATTAGCATGGGGAGCTGCATGTTCCTCAAATATCTATAATTTAGATGTTTTTCAAAAAAGTATTCTAAAAATGATATTTACAAAACCGAAACTTTATCCCACTGAAAAATTATATGCAGATGTTCGAATGTATGATATAAGACAGCTTTATTTCTTACACAGTATCACTCACTACCATAAATTTGTAAACACCGACCAAAAAATTAAACATAATCATTATACCAGGTACAAAATTCGTGGCACAGTAGTTCCTCAACCGCATAAATCTATAATGCAGCGATCATATCTCTATTTAGCGCCTAAATTTTATGAAATTATACCTAAAGACTTTAAAGATTTACGTTTCGGAAATTGTTTCAAAAGAAATTTAAAAAAGTGGCTACATTCTATATCTAGGACTAAATTTCATAAACTCATAAATACGAACATCAACTAAATACGTAATCTACTGTAACTAATTTTTCTCCTTTTTTGTCATTTGCATTCTACAGTTTCAACTTAAATTATTGGTCCATGTACAGGCGATGCCTTCTATTGGGCCTGTTTTGATTTTATATTTATTTACTCATATTGTTTGTTATCTTTGTACATTGAGTAAATAAATATTATTATTATTATTATTATTATTATTATTATTATTATTATCCTGATTAGGACCGCCAGGATTGATAAACTCTTTCATAGATCCTCTGTAGGTGAGTAGGAGAGATAGAGATAGCGCGCGATCTGCGCTTGCGTGCAATTCCGAACTTACTCCTTGTTGGTTTGGACACTCGGCACAGCAAAACGGAGGCAGATACTTTTTCAAGGTAGTGCATTCGGTTCAGATGGTGTACACATGATTAAAGAGATATCGATGCAGTTCCCAGCTATGCAGGGAGACGAATGTTGCCATTAACCCTGAGTTGGGTTTCAACCGTCCACAAGGTGCAAGGTTACAGTCGATCATGCAGTCATTATCTAGACTTGGTCGTGTAAGATCTTTAGACGGTATTCGGTTTGGAGAACTTGATTGCTCTAAGGTAAGAGGAAAAACGCCATCCAACAGTGAAGCTTTAAATGAAATGATTCGTGAGACATTTCAATACCACAGGTCCACAAAAAGTTAATTGATAAATCGAACTAAAAAATGAAATATAAATTGGCGGCTTTTTGAAGAAAGGAACCAACCCACTAAATATGAAAAATCTTGATTTTAGCAAAATACTCTATTACGAGCATATAACTTATAAATTGTTTAGTGTTATATCATATGCACATATTTAAAGCCTTGTATGCCATTAATTAAAATCGTTTTTGGTCTAAAATGAATTTTTTATCATTGTCAAAACTTTATAGCTTAGTTGCTGTATAATTGTTTTTCTGGGTTCGTTCCTTTCTGCAAAAAGCCGTCCAAATAATAGTTTAAAAAAACTAAAAAAAAAAACACGCTTCAATAGCCAACCGAACTGAAAAGTAGAGAATAATTTTCATTTACCAAGAGTTTATATGACAGTAGTGGATGTTCGAAAAATCAATCATAATTAATGAGCTCAAAATAAAATTTAAGTTATTAACAGAATAATTCAATTCAGACTAAAAAGCGTTGACACAATTCACGCTCAAAATAAAATCCTCCTCGATAACAAAATCGACGGGTCTTAGCGTTTTTCCAAAAAAAACTGAGCTGCCAGTAAATGCGTTTGTTTCGTTTTCGATGCGCCACCCTGTATGTGTCTATCTATACACACTTCTCTCTTGTGCACATTGAACTCGAGCCGTGAGACATATTTTGATTTCACTGACCACTACACGAACAAATCTGTTATAGTGTAGTTGTAAACAGTCCGAAAATAGTTCCAAACGATTAGGAAATACCCTGAAATGATTACCTAGATTCCCTCAGTCCAAGACAAGCTCTAGGTTCCTTGAGCATAAGAAAGTTCCAATCTTCCCCTGAACGAATCAACGTGGTGAAGAGACCAGGTACTTCCGAGCTTGGACTTGGATAATCGCCAGCTTCTATCAAAAGGACCTTCCATAAGCCATTTTCTGTTATTTGATTTGCTACAGCGCATCCCGCAGCTCCACCGCCTACTATGATGAAGTCGAACACCGTTTCTTGCTCCTTCAAACATTATTACTAGTATTATGCTTTCTAGTTCATTTCAATAGGTCGCGCTGTTTCTGGCCTTTTGCTCCGCCGCCACTGGACCGACTTCCACAAACTACTAATCTTTTGCGTCCTTGGCATAGTAGTAATATTGTGTAAAAATTTCATCGAAATTCTAGCCGTACTTCTCAAGTTATAGGCGGTTATAAAAATAGCTTAAAGACTGATAGACAGACGGACCGATTGAAATAAGTGACATGGTTTTTCGTCGTGTATATGTCATATAACCTCCAAAAAACATAGCATCTATACAGCTTTCTCAGTTTTAGTTTTAGTTTTGGTTTTGGTTTTAGTTTTAGTTTTAGTTTTAGTTAGTTTTAGTTTTGTTTTTGTTCTTTTTTTTGCTTATCTACTTTTGTAATGCTTTTGGTAGTTTCAAGATAGAGTACCTTGATGTGTTCTATGTCATGACAAATGATCTGCAGAACTAATAAAAATGATTATTATTACAGCATGCGCTTGATAACGTAAACACAGGATAATGAAAACTTGCGCTAATGTAAACACAAACTTCGTTCTATGGGATCAAACGGAACGCGCGATAACGTAAACAATGTGTACGCTCGATAACGTAAACAACTCTCGGCGCACGGAAACAGCGCGACGGTAAAATGCTGAAGCCTCGATGATTTATGTCGGGGGGAGCCCCCGATTTATGATGTAGAGTGTAGGGGATTCACCTCTGCGATAAAATACGACAAACCCGGTCAGTCGTATGATCGTTTAGGATACGTTTATACGTACGTATGTATTTCATTTTTGAACTTAAGTGAATACATTGCACGCTTTAATATATTTTACGACTATGGCATCCACATCCTATAAAAGAAAGTGTTTAAAGTTGAGTGAGAAAGTGAAAATCATAGACGAAGTTGCACTAGGTGCGGGAGTGACACAGTTAGCAAAAAAATATGGAGTATCGAAAGCAACAATCTGTAAAATTAAGCGTATGAAAACTCAAATTTTACAAAGAACGTGCAATACATTTGGAGGTCCGGGAAAAAGAAAAACTTTAAAAAATGCGAAGGCACCTAAAATGGAAAATTCCCTGTATAAGTGGTTTTTAAAACAACGGGAAAATCATGTCCCAGTTAGTGGTGAAGTACTTAAACAGAGACCGAGACTGTTAAATTAAAAAATTAAAGAAACTGAAAATTTAGTGATGGCTGGCTACAACGATTCAAAACAAGATATCGAATTCGACTGCTGTCTATATCTGCTGAAAAATTATCAGCACAACCACAAATAGTGCAACCATTCAAAGAAAAATTGATGAAAACAATTACCGAGCTAGATTTAAGAATGGAACAAATTTACAACGCAGATGAAAGTGGCCTTTATTGGAAACTGTTACCAGAGAAAACCTATGCTGCATCATTTGAAAAATCTGCCCCGGGAAGGAAGCCGGAGAAACAACGAATAACGTTTCTAGCCTGCACTAATGCTAATGGTTCACACAAAATAAAGCCACTGGTAATTGGGAAAGCAAAAAATCCGCGCTCATTTAAAAATGTCAATATCCCTGTTGATTATGACTGTTCAAAAACCGCTTGAATGACTAGCAGTATATTCCTGAAATGGTTCCACAGGTGCTTTGTCCCTCAGGTATGACAATCAATTATCACAAATGCTCTATTTATAATTTGAAGATGTGTTTTCAACTTGTAGGTAACAGGTTTCCTAAAACAACAGAAGCTTCCAATAAAAGCGTTGTTACTATTGGATAATACACCAAGTCATCCTCCCGAGCAACAACTGAGGAGCAGGGATGGGTCAATTTTGGTCATGTACATGCCGCCCAACGTAACACCGTTAATTCAACCGATGAACCAGAATATAATAAGACTCACCAAACTATACTATAGGAAGTTTCTACTTTCGTCTGTCTTATCAAAGAAGCCTGAAAACTTATCTGAGGCTTTAAAAAAAGTAACATTACGAGAAGCTGTTTTAGATTTACATATGGCCTGGAGTGAACTTAACCAGCAAACTATTCAAAAATGTTGGAACAATCTCTTTTGTACCAATAATGAAGATGATGAAGAAGACGATGTCCCCTTAAGCGTAATTAGAGAACGTTTGCGATCCAATAATGATAATGTTATTAGTGTGTCATTGGATGTTGTTGATTTATTGAAAACAGTGAATCCCAACATTGTTTGTACTCCTGCTGATATTAATTTATGGAACGAAGATAAGCAGACGAATGATGCTGATAAGGAGGAGGATATGGACAGTGAGGATGATAAGAACGATCCCATTGAAGTCAGAAGTATAGTGACTGACGCGCAAGCTATACAAGTTTTTAACCAAGCTTTAGATTGGGCTGAAAGAAAAGAAGTTTCGTACACGGATATTTTAGTTCTTCGGCGCAGGCATTGGAAGACCATGCTAAGCGCAATTTTATGCAGACAAAAATTGTTAATCATTTTTCTTCTAATTAAAAAAATAATTATCGCTGTTAGAATATTTGTTTATTTTGTTATAAATAGTATGTATTAAACGTTTCTTTTAATAAATCAAATATTATATAAATCACGTTCGCTAATGTAAACATTTCGATAATGTGAACCACACTTGGATTAAATTAGTTTACATTATCGAGCGTCTGCTGTATTGTTATTATTATTAAGAGAATATCCATCTGTAGCAAACTCTGCTTAATTCCTATATATATATATATATATATATATGTTCCATGGTCTTATTAGTAGCCTGTGGTCTCTTAATTACCAATTTGCTTGCCCTACCTTCAGTATTTTTTCGCTGATATCCTTGGGGTACACCTGTTCAGGATCTCCAATTAACTTCACGTTGAAAAATAAGGTATTTATAAGTAATACAAATGCATTGAGTAAAGATCCGCTCACAGTCGAAACATCGTACTTGATAACTCCGTACATTTCAAACTACTAATTTTGTACCCGCTCCGAATTACGAAAACGTGCCGTTGTACGATAAATTTGACAAGCTGTAAGTTCAAGTGACAGTTTATGATAGTTGAGTTTAGGAAATGACATGGGACATATGAAATGAGAATTGCACAGAGGTCTCCTATGGAGGTATGGCGTGAAGGCCGTTTTGCTGTTATTTTACCTCGCCACCCGTCAGGGATCTGTCATTGAAACTCTGATACCGTGTGAAATTTTTCCCAGATACTGTGAAGTCTATCTATATGCTGATGGCACTGCACTGGTGGTTCAGTCGCGTTCCGGGACTATGGTTCACGATAGGTCACAAAATGCAGTGCATGATGGGCTGATCCTCACGACTATTATGTAAAAAACCTATAAAACTTCAAAAAAAAACACGAAATGTCATCTTACAGACTACGTACTTTTTAGGGCGCAAATAGTTCATTCCACGTTTGTGCTGTGAGCGTCCATCTATGGAGGAATTACTCAACTACACGCATTGTTGGTTGCAGAAAACAAGTGTATGCTTTGTGAAGCCTCTAGTGTATATCTTGGATAGAAAGAAAGTCAGTTGGCTGAGTAGCAAGACGGCAACTGGATGATTATGTGTATTGGTTTGCATGTGTATAAAATCAATGATATGTGAGAAAATTAGTACTGAATATGCTTCCAATGAAGTATGTTTATATATATATATGTATACAGGGTGTCCGCAAGTTGGGGTTTTCCTTTACACGACATGTAGATCTTGAAAACGTAAGCAATTTTTCTTAGTACCATATACACTAATGTCTTAAGGGAACCGAGATAAAGGGCTCTGCAACATCAAAAATATCTGAATACCGTCCTGTAGCCGCGACCCGGGACATCACCGAGTGGTACAAGTTCACTGGCTCAACCCGACGACAGAACTTGGTCGGGGTCAATGTGTCAGGTCAGTATGCAACCTTCAACCGACGGTTACGGTCACGCGTATAGAGGTAATCGCGTAGACGAGAATCCCTCAACAAGCACTAGAGACGTGGCTAGAGAAGTGCAAGTATCAAAAACTAAAGTGTGACAAACGCTGCGTGAAGAGGGGCTGTATCCGTTTCACGTCCAACGTGTACAAGCCCTTCAACCTGACGATTTTCCAGCAAGAGTGCGGTTTTGTGAGTGGTTGTTGCATCAACATGACAATAATCCGGACTTTTTGAAGTGCATATTGGTGACAGACGAATCTACGTTTACGCGTAATGGGGTGAATAACTTTCGCAACACTCATGTTTGGTCAGTAGGAAATCCGCACGCTGTCCGTCGGGCACATTTCCAACAAATATTTTCGGTGAATGTTTGGGCTGGCATGGTGAACGGTATGCTCATTGGACCATTTATTCTCCCAAATCGATTGGACGGGATGCAATACCGAGACTTTTTACGCAACATGTTGCCTTCCTTGTTAGAAGATGTGCCATTAAGTGTAAGACAATCATTGTGGTTTCTGCACGATAGTGCACCGCCCCATTTCAGACGCGAAGTGCGTGAGTTTTTGAATGAATTATTTCCGAATAGGTGGATCGGACGTAATGGACCCGTAGCGTGGCCTCCGCGATCTCCAGACTTAACACCATGTGATTTTTTTCTTTGGGGAGAAATGAAACGCTTAGTGTACAAAACTGAAGTGCATACCGTTGACGAACACTTCGTCTCAGAATTAAACAAGCTGGTGCTTTCATTCGGGGGAGGGACTCCATTCTCAAAGCCTGCACCGATGCTTGGCTACGTCATGCACGCACCTGTGTTTTTGAATCAAACGGCGATAACTTCGAACAATACCTATAAAGTACGTTTACCTAAAAACTGAAAACGCGGCAACGCCGTCTTATTTGTTACCTCTGTTCGTGGTCTGCACCACCGCCGGCGTCTGCTCGGTAGCGCATCAGCTGATTTCATTTTCTGTTGGAGCGGTATTATTTCGGGCAGAGACGTACTTAGCCCTTCTCGTCAACTGGAGAGTGAGTACTTTTTCCTTTATTTTTTTTACTTGGTCGCCCTCGTTTCACTACACATTACCTTTGTTATTTCAAGGGTAGTTGTTTCTGAAAAGGAAAACCCCAACTTTGCGGACACCCTGTATATATCATCTGTGCCCGATGGGTTATGTATATGTTGTCCCTTCTGAAGACAGGGCATGTACATAGTTATAAATTACGATTTTTCCCGTTTTTTTGTTTTCAAAAAAAATTTTGAGGAGCATTACGAGAAATCGCCACCGCGCCCGCGTTATGTGCAATTAAGCCACATGACAGGAAAATAGGGAATGACGCATTATAGTGCGTCACATCTAGGCGCTGATTTGTATTTTCAATTGACATCGCAAAAAAATGACATCATTTCCATCTCCTATGTTACCAACAGCTTCTTTACAATTCCACACAAATTTCGATGTTGTGTAGGTTCTGCGATCATTCTGGTACACAGTTCTGTAGCGTCTAGCTTCGCCTGGAATTTTTGGAGCCCTAACAAATACTTTCACCCTAAAAACATTAAAACCGGAGATCGATATCTCTCGGTTTTAAAGCATCACAATTCCCAAACTTGAAAGACATGAATTACCTACTGCTTTGCAACTTTATAGTGCATCTCAAAATTGCAAAATCCGTCCAGAAAATGATCGGCATTTTGTACTGATCGGGGGATGGGCAGCTCCCCTTACATACGCCACTGGTTATTGATGTTCATCAAGCAAGCTTGTGCATGCATTATTTTCATCAAAAAGATATGTTGCTGGGTATTTCAAATCATTGAATGTTTCATCACAAAGTTAACTGCGTCTTTAGATGACATCCTGAAACGAGTACGAGGAATATCGCTAGACACTTAAATATTTGCCATCAAATTGTTTGGACAATTTTAATGGATTTTTTGTTATATCCTTACCATATCTTAAAAGTACAGACATTAACCCTTTCTGTACGGGACCTCTTTTAACTGTACTGTCACCACCGCCGACTCATTTTGCATTGTCTGGGCGCCTGATGACGTATACAGGGTGTCCGCAAAGTTGGGGTTTTCCTTTACACGACGTGTAGATCTTGAAAACATAAGCAATTTTTCTTAATACCATATACACCAATGTCTTAAGGGAATCGAGATAAAGGGCTCTGCAACATCAAAAATATCTGAATACCGTCCTGTAGCCGCGACATCCCCGACTGGTACTAGGACACTAGCTCAACCCGACGACAGAACTGGGTCGGGGTCACTGTGTCAGGTCAGTATGCAACCTTCAACCGACGGTTACGGTCACGCGTCTAGAGGTAATCGCGTAGACGAGAATCCCTCAACAAGCACTAGAGTCGTGGCTAGAGAAGTGCAAGTATCAAAAACTAAAGTGTGGCGAACGCTGCGTGAAGAGTGGCTGTATCCGTTTCACGTCCAACGTGTACAAGCCCTTCAACCTGACGACTTTCCAGCAAGAGTGCGGTTTTGTGAGTGGTTGTTGCATCAACATGACAATAATCCGGACTTTTTGAAGTGCATATTGATGACAGACGAATCTACGTTCACGCGTAATGAGGTGAATAACTTACGCAACACTCATGTTTGGTCAGTAGAAAATCCGCACGCTGTCCGTCGGGCACATTTTCAACAAACATTTTCGGTGAATGTTTGGGCTGGCATGGTGAACGGTATGCTCATTGGACCATTTATTCTCCCAAATCGATTGGACGGGATGCAATACCTAGACTTTTTACGCAACATTTTGCCTTCCTTGTTAGAAGATGTGCCATTAAGTGTAAGACAATCAATGTGGTTTCTGCACGATGGTGCACCGCCCCATTTTAGACGCGAAGTGCGTGAGTTTTTGAATGAATTATTTCCGAATAGGTGGATCGGACGTAATGGACCCGTAGCGTGGCCTCCGCGATCTCCAGACTTATTTTTTTCTTTGGGGAGAAATAAAACGCTTAGTGTACAAAGTGCATACGGTTGACGAACTTCGTCTCAGAATTAAACAAGCTGGTGCTTTCATTCGGGGGAGGGACTCCATTCTCAAAGCCTGCACCGATGCTTGGCCACGTCGTGCACGCACCTGTGTTTTTGAATCAAACGGCGATAACTTCGAACGATACCTATAAAGTAGGTTTACCTAAAAACTGAAAACGCGGCAACGCCGTCATATTTGTTACCTCTGTTCGTGGTCTGCACCACCGCCGGCGTCTGCTCGGTAGCGCATCAGCTAATTTCATTTTCTGTTGGAGCGGTATGATTTCGGGCAGAGACGTACTTAGCCCTTCTCGTCAACTGGAGAGTGAGTACTTTTTCCTTTATTTTTTTTACTTGGTCGCCCTCGTTTCACTACACATTACCTTTGTTATTTCAAGGGTAGTTGTTTCTGAAAAGGAAAACCCCAACTTTGCAGACACCCTGTATATATCATCTGTGCCCGATGGGTTATGTATATGTTGTCCCTTCTGAAGACAGGGCATGTACATAGTTATAAATTACGATTTTTCCCGTTTTTTTGTTTTCAAAAAAAACTTTGAGGAGCATTACGAGAAATCGCCACCGCGCCCGCGTTATGTGCAATTAAGCCACATGACAGGAAAATAGGGAATGACACATAATAGTGCGTCACATCTAGGCGCTGATTTGTATTTTCAATTGACATCGCAAAAAAATGACATCATTTCCATCTCCTATGCTACCAACAGCTTCTTTACAATTCCACACAAATTTCGATGTTGTGTAGGTTCTGCGATCATTCTGGTACACAGTTCTGTAGCGTCTAGCTTCGCCTGGAATTTTTGGAGCCCTAACAAATACTTTCACCCTAAAAACATTAAAACCGGAGATCGATATCTCTCGGTTTTAAAGCATCACAATTCCCAAACTTGAAAGACACGAATTACCTACTGCTTTGCAACTTTATAGTGCATCTCAAAATTGCAAAATCCGTCCAGAAAATGATCGGCATTTTGTACTGATCGGGAGATGGGCAGCTCCCCTTACATACGCCACTGGTTATTGATGTTTATCAAGCAAGCTTGTGCATGCATTATTTTCAACAAAAAGATATGTTGCTGGGTATTTCAAATCATT